GACTTCATCCTGGCGGAGGAATCATTTGGATTGCTATTCAAAATCATCTTCGACTTTGTGATTCTGTGATAAAACAGCTGTGGAATTTTATATGTCATAATTAGCCTTGACATACTTCACCATAAACATGTGCAAAAGTACACAATATCATTCTATCATGAAGAGCCTCCACAATAATAAAATCCCTACATCCTGAATTAATTGATATATTTAAATGATTAAAATAGGAATGAAGGTGGTTTGCTTGTGTAACAGGCAAAACCGGTCAAAAGGCGGTTTTGTCCAATCAAATACTCCAAAAGAATGAGAAAGGACTGACACGGCGAAAGTGTTGGTGACTTGGACAGTATCAGCAATATTGCAGCAATTCCCATTGGTCATGATCGAGCTTGCAAGAAAATGAGTATTGAAATAATGTCTTCAACGCCATGTAGATTTGGTTTCAGGGTATTCACAAGTTATCTCGCTTGTCAATTCCCTCATGTGGATGTTGGGTAATTTGCGGTGGTAGAACAAGGTAATGGGTCCAGCATATATACTACTGGAGCAGATAACTGAACTGAGAAACGTTCACTTCCGGAAACAAGCACCAAAACTGGCACACATACTCCTTGGGGATTACTCTTTTGATAAAACCCGCTAGCCAGCTAAAAAATCAAGATGGCCGCCATTGAATATTAAAAAATATTGTTTTTCGCAATAAAATCGCAGAGACCTGTCCTATTTGAACGATCTTGGCCTCAAATCATACATTTCTGAATATGTAGAATCCGAAGTTTGAACCTTGGACTCATTCACTGGCTTCCTTGTACCTTCTATCAGTCCCAAAACCCTAACATTCTGCGAAATAAGAGGTTCGTGTTACGTCTGACTCTGCTAAAATGCATGGTAATTTATATCGCAGTTGTGTTTGAGGTTTTGTATGTGTAGCATCTTTCTGTGGAAGGCTTCCAAGCTGGACATGACACGAAGTGTGAGGGTGTGGGGTGGGTGTTGAGACATTTGGACGTTGAGAGACTTGCAGTGGATGGTATAGAGTAGTAGCTCAACTGACCGGATGTCAGCGCACAACCAGGGCACACTGGTGGCACCGTTGTTATGAAACTCTGCATGGGGTTCAGTATCAGCTAAATAATTAGCTTAGTACAGCTAAATAATAAGTTTAGTGTCCTAAATGCTATCTAATTAGCCCCGCATCAGTTAGCTAGTGTGGTTTAACATAGATGTTTAGTTAGATTGCCTCGCCTGAACTGACAGGGTGTGGTAGAGCCGAGTCAAGGGTAACGGGGCTGTACATTGCTTTGCATGTCGATACCTGGTTGGTGTACAGAGCGCTTGGGACTTAAATGATACTGGATGAACGATTGGGCAAGGTGTAGGTCATATATTTTTATCCCCGAACCTAGTCATATCCCATACCATATTGTGCGTGAATGTGATCAAGGTGGTAAACGGATAACCCCTCGGCCTTGATTCACTAAATACAGATAAATATTTTATTGTGATACCCGGATAACTATTCACCAAGATGGCAAATACAGATACAGGACCGTCTAAATTCTTTACTGACTGGAGCAAGTGTTGTCTTTGCCAGATGAAGAAGAAGAATATGTGAAGAGCTCAAGTCACCAAGTGTTCAACAACCACAAGAACATGAAGGCTACACTATGACCGCGACTAACATTCCTCTGTTTCACGCAATTAATGAGATGCCGATTGTTCTGGATCCAGACTGACTTGATGATTGTGATGGCATTGAAGAAACTCTTAGGAGGAGCAAGGCGCAATATCACCATAGTTGTCGCCTTATTTTCAATAACACAACACTTCAGAGAGCCAGAAAAAGAAGAGCAGAAAGTGCTAAGCCAGTAGAATGCCAGACCAAGCTGCGTAGAACCAGCCTCAAGGTCAGGCGTGCTTCATATGTGACAAAGAAGACCCATCCTGACATTACCTGGAAAATGAATGTGCCCAAACTTAATATGATGGAAAACTTCTTGCAAGATACAACGACGGAGATACAATTGCACAGGAGCTAAAATACCATTTTGCTTCTGACTTGCAGACATAGTACGTCTGTATGCCCGGCGCCTGGAACAGATGGTGTAGATGCACCTGCTGTCGACTCCACAAGACTGAAAGAAACCCTGCTGTCACAAATACCTGAGCTGGAAGCTCACAAACAGGGACGGGGTGTTCTTCTGGTTTTCCAGAAAGATGTGGGCTTTTGTCAGAAGCTTCTGACTATTGTAGTGAAGCTATTATCCTTGGCAAAGCAACTAACATCTTGAGAAGACATATGCTGCACCACAAGTCCATATTTGACGGAACTTTCCATGAGGTGTGCACTCTTCTTCAGTTTGTGACAGGCTTGAACACGGAGCGGATATCAAATGTCCACTGAGGTTTGGTGCATCAAAGACAGACCTAACAATTGCTCAGCTGCTTCAGTACAACTCCTACGCAAGGTTCAAAGAAAGATCAGGAACTCACAGACACTCCAAAGACAAAGAAACCCCATTCCCAGTCTACACAAACACCAGAAAGAGAACGTTGCTGGAAATGCTAAACGAGCATGAAATCAGCATGTCATGCATACGGCAGGGGGCTAGAGATATATGCACAGCTGGGAGATATAGTCAACAAGTACGTGGAAAATGGGGTGGTCTGTCCACCAGTCCTGCAAAAAGGGCTGTTCACCACTTCAGCCATGGACACCATACACCACAATCCCACTGCAACGACAGCGACCACTTCTTTCCATGGAACCAGCATCCCTGGTTTCCAGCACCCAGCCAAAGAAAACAAAGATGAAGAGCATGGACAACTGAAGTTTGGAGAAGAGAAAGTGAAGACTGTTCCAGAACTTCCGGACTCTTTCACCAATGTCCGACCCGCCTTTTTCACCAAGAAACCCTCTCCTTCCCAGAATGGTGTGACATACCCAGACACCAGTCTATTAAGGCCACAACTGGCAATGGAGTATGCGTGGTTGGAGAAGGTCACTGTGACAGATGGGCCAGTGAATGTGACTTGGTCAGCCCACCATGCTTCATAGAAGAGAGGAAAACCATTTGATGTCAGCATTACTTCACTTTTGCCTCTACTGTGAGACCAGGCCCACTCATTTGCTACAGTCAGGCATGTTATGGACAAGATCAAGGAGATAGTGGCATTTCTGAACCCCGGGCAGGTGCCAGTCATTGCTGCTGACTAGCCAATATATGCAGTAGCCAAGTAGATCAAGTGGCTCTGGCCTGAAATCTACGGTGAGGACAAGTTAGTTATAATGTCATCCAGGCGGCAAGACAGTAAGTGTAAGCCTACTGCGTACATTTCAATCCAATAATATGTCGTCACTTTTTACCCTAATTATGATTCCGGGACTGATATTGTACAAGGAAGCTAGAGAGTAGAAATATAGTTCAAAATTCGGATTCTATTAGTAAAAAATGTATGTTTTGACACCAAGACCATTCAAATACGACAAATCTTTGCGACTTTATTGTGAAATGCAATATTTTTGTATACCCAGTGGCGGCCATCTTGAAGGGTAACTGATGCATCCACCCATTTAAACCGTGGTGAACCACCCAGTGTGCATGCAGTGCATGCTCTTTTGTGAAATGCAACCCTTCATGTGACCACAATTTTCTGGTGATCAGAAAAACTACAGAGTTTCACATATTAATTTCCAAGTAAACTCTAGAAGACGTTTGCTATCATTTTGGACAAATTGTTCTGAACCTGTTAGGATAGAAATCCATGGATCAAGAAATGAATATTTTTCTTCTAGTTTGTCATGTGTGATAGTGATGTGTAACGTTAAAGCTGAAGAGAATCTATGTGGTATTGATCCCGCTTGTATCAAATACTTTCTGTGTTTACAGAGAAAATTCTTCCTGGATTAAGGGTAAAGGTTAATCTTTGAGTCAAGGATGTGGTTGTATGTATTTCCCGGACCAGGCAGTATATCTCTTTGTACGGATTTTATTGAATGTTGAAATCCAGTACAAAATAGTAATTTTCTTAAAGTCAAAAGTAGATGGTAACAATGAATGGTTTCGGCACATTACTTAACATAAAGACCTTTTATGTGGCATTATTTGATATATCCCCCGTGCCAAGCTTTTTTATCAAACAGTTCATGTAGGTATGTTAACATATAATGGTTATGTTATTTGAAGCCTTGTCAGTAGGAACAGCTACACACTATTCATGCAGGGCAGACAGACTTTGGATGGCAGTTGGCTGGGACACAACAGGTTTATTGCAATTATTTCCCCTCGTGTTTTGACTTAACCAACTTTAAAAGAGGTTCTACAGGTTTCTTTTCTCTTTTGGTCTCTTTGTTATTGTGTGTGTGTACATTTTTATATACTTCGACAGCATCGACTTTGCATCGTGAGCTGCCAATTCCACATTCTGAACAACCGCGATGAAACAGTGCAACTGTAGGAAAGGGACATAGTTGGTTGTTCCTGAAATTTGAAACATTGTGGGATATTTTGGGACACAGATTTTCTACAGGGAATGGTATTGAAACCCACGCAAATTCTGGAACGTAAAATATGTTTCGTTTCAATCGGATTTGTTAAGAACGTTATTACAAATATGAATATGTTCATACATATTGTATTTTCTGTAGGATATACACCTCTGTTGACTTGTTATATTATATTCTTCATAATACAGATCAATATTTCAACCAGTATCCCTTAATAATTTCACAACTTTAACTCTGGACATTAGCTTCAGCTAATTTTCCCTGCTACATGATGATCCTTCTTCTTCAGTCTTAAATGCCAACAATCATTCCTTCGTCAACATCCCTCTGTCATTCATGCATATTTCAAATGCTTATAGTATATTGCCTTTGACTGTAATCGTTCGCAAACGATCTGTGCAAGCATATTCATCTGTCCCCATCTAATCTCATTTATGATATATATGTCAGATATACCCACAAATCTGCTACACTTTTAACGTCTTGTTTCCAGAGTGCCAAACCTGTTCAGAACTATTCAGGAAGAAGGATAAAATCTTCTCAGCCGAAAACAAATTCTTGTTTTTGCATGCACCATCTGTTCTTATCAACCTGCCAAATGAAAAACTTCTTCCAGAAAAAAAGTCTGATAGGAAGGTTGATCGAGATACATTAGTTCTGAAACTCAAGAAATACATATCAGCATTACGGAACTCAGGAGGAGGAGTCATACTTCTACATATTTGCGACCTTGACCGTGAAGATAAATACCTGGACCATTTCCATGAACTTGTCGATGTCAAATTCAATCAAATTATTGAAGATGGAAGTCTGTTTATCCAAGTGTACAAGAAGAATTGGTTATACTGTTTAGCTGATTGTTCTGATGACGAAGGTGAGTCTGGAGATGATACAGATGAAGATTCCACTGAAGAAGCTACAGATTACAATTTGTATAGAGATGTAGTTGGTGTGACAGTAGTACCTTCTTTCTCAGTGGCAACAGTTAACTTCAAAACAAAACTCCCACTTGACAACGGTGTTGTAGATCCAGTGAATACTGAAATAGTACAGTTCTTGAAGTGGAAGACATTGTTCCAAAATGTTACAGCTCAAATACGCAATTTGGACAATTTGGACCGTTTACATGAAAGTCGATGTATGCAATTCAAGTCAGTTCAACCAGATGGAGCAGGAGCAGATGCCACTGGCAACATTCTCAACAACCCTGAAAGACTGGTAAATCATATTTGGGATCTGCTTCGACTAAACCATTACATCAGTGCCTTTACCAAGGTTGATGGTGGAGGTTCATATTATGTTGGAATCTCTGAACAGGATACACAGTATAACTCCTATACGTCTCACAAATACGTTGTTGATGGAATTGATGTTCCTGAAACTTATCACTCATCTGTAGCAGATAAAATAAGACATAAAATTGGGACTGAAACTCTCGTGCTCTACTTTGACGAAAGACTTGCAGCTGGCCCGCTGCCACCAGAACTTGTGAAGATTAAGTTCCATCCAACTGAAAATAATCATTTTGTCATTGAGGTTGCAGTGCCAGCCATTAATGGCTTGGTGTTCTATGACAAAGAAGGACCAGAGGCATATGAATTAGGACCAGGGGAATCTGGATCTTGCATACGACTTACCGCAAACGAGTGGCGTGCCAGACTCTTAATGTGTAATTACCAACAAAGCTATTTCTATCTTTTCATCATGACAATTCTTAATGTAGCAAAATGCCATATTGTATGTAAACACAAATATAGAATGTTACTTTTTAAAAAATCTTCTGATTCAAAAGTGGAAAGTAGAAATCCATTGTAAAAAATTATCGTAATTTTTAAGAATAAAATAGTGCAGTTTTAAAAAAAATAGTGCTTAGTCTCTGTTGCAAAGATTTATGCTCATGTTATCCCAATTCAAATATAATTTAGTATAACAATATAATATTTCTATTATAACAGAAAGCAGATATGGCGTATCATAAATCAAGACACAGAGTGATGAAAGGTGGGTTTTTTGTTCAATCATTTTCGTGGCTTCATAAGACGAGTAATACCAAGTGGATTCTTTAGTTTATGTACACAATCCCTTATGCTTGAGTTAACAGTATCTTGGAAAGAAAGCCACAAGAGCACAGGTCGACCACTTTGATGAAACACATGGGTATTAGGGTTCTGAGAAATCAGATATCATTATCTTAAAGCAGAACTCATTATCATCTTGTTCTTAGACAAGTGAATTTACTGTGGTAATGATAATAATAATAAATGCATATTTATAATGCGCCCTTTCCACACCCTTGGTCACGTAATAATACCATTTTGAAGAACATTCAACATGGTGAAACAGGAATTGTTTTTTGCAACTGCCCACAAACACGTTCTAATGCCTTTTCATATATTTACAGTTAGGTCTACTTTCAAAGATACATACTGAAGCCGAATCTGTGTTTATGTTTCAGGGGCGGTGGGGTAGCCTAATGGTTAAAGCGTTGGCTCGTCACGCCGAAGACCCGGGTTCGAATCCCCACATGGGCACAATGTGTGAAGCCCATTTCTGGTGTCCCCCGCCGTGATGTTGCTGGAATATTGCTGAAAGAGGCATAAAACCAAACTCAGTCAGTCTGTTTATGTTTCAGAACCTGTTTCAAAGGCGCGTATCCAAGAAGTAAATATTGTGTCTTTTGACCATCATCGTCCACGCCTTTTGCAGGTTGGAAACAGTACCGACTTGATAAAACAGCATGTATTCAGTGGAGGTATGTAGTGCATGTTTCTATGTACACCGTAGAAAGATTGGTCGTGTCATCTGTTATTAAATAGATCAAATGCCTCACTATCTCTGCAAACATATTGATAACAAGTCATCGTCTGCCCCAAACGTTTTGTATTTTTCATTTCCCTAAAATACCTTGATAAGTTCAATCGAAATATTTTGTAGATGTTCGTATTTACTCTAGGAACCAGAATTTTGATTTTAATATGAGCCTATTCTGTGATTTAAACATTTTAAAATATATGATCATCATATGTAGGGTAAAGTGCCTGATGTCAAAATGACAAGTGTAATACATCATGCATTTCAACATGTTTGTTGAAGAGGTTCGAATCAGCCACCCATGTTTAGAAAGTTTGGCTTTTTGGACCTTTCCCGGTAAGGTGACTGAAAATGTGAAGTTAATAGACCTCTTCCAGTTTTATTGCAGTAAAGGACATGTTGACCATAAACGACATCAAATACTGAGAGGTCCAGACTCGGTTATCTCCAGGCCAATGGCACATTCTGCAATATTGCTGAGTGCGGCATTAGAAATGAAACTAACAAAGAATGTATTTTCATGTATTCACTGTTCTTCCTTTCTAGAGAAAGTGTGTATATATCCCAAACTGGACATCAATGAAAACTCTGGAACCCGATGGACAATACATCAGAGACTCCAGAGCAGCTACAAGACATGTTTTGCCTACACAGCCAAAGTGATGGCAGTGTCTGCTAATATTGCTGCCAAACCAAATTCAGCTGAGGCCATTTACGATGTGATCGTGTTTGTCCCAGATGGACCTACAACAGTATTCACAGTTATCAGTGACAAAGTAAACAGCAAACGAAAGAGCAGAGTACTTGAGTATAACCAGACACTCGCAAAAGGTATTGTGGCATCTGTCCGAAGGTATGCAAAAGAACAGTTCAGTGTGGTTTTTGGACTGATGACAGAAACTGACCTCAAGGATGATGACAAGTTTAAGAAAGCCATGGACACAATCAAGGTCAACACGTCCAAGTGGTGCATTCCAGTTACACTGAGTATGTCAGAGAAAAAGTTCAAAGAAGTCACTTCTGCATTTATCATGTCAATTGCTTTCACCAATTGTGTTTTCACAGAGGAGGAAGGTAATTCGCTGAACTGTCTCACGTTGGAGCAGTTTCGGGTCCTCACCGAAAACATTGACTACAACCAAGTGGAAGTGAGTTGGGAACCTACTTGTGGAGGGAACGTCCTGCTACTTGTGATCGCACAACGACTAGAAAAATCAGGCCACACGGCAATTGTTGCAAAGTCAGAGTCACTACTAAAGAGTGCCAGGTACTTCATTCTTCTTCAAATTCCATAAAATAACAGCTGATTTCTTCTTCATTAAGTTCTTTTTGTTGATCTCAAATTCCTAATATTCAACAATATTTTTATGAACAGTGTATCAATACATCATACTGCATTAATTTTCTTTCAGGAGGTTGTCCATTTGCCAGGATCGCATTATTCCCGCTGATGAACTTGGACAGGAGACTTTCTGTGAGACGTCAGACATTGTCAATATAGTTGCAGACTGTGATATCTCTGAGAAGGTTCAAGGTATAAACAAACTTTGGAGGACCTGGCAATTTGTTCGTGGATCTCTGAAAGGTAAGCCTATAAAAACGTAATGTCTATTTCATACTTAGTATGTGCCATTGTCACATTGAATCTGTGGTAACGGAAGACCTATGGTAACGGCTTTCAACAGTTCAGGAATTGTAAATACACCTAGTGACACATGGCCATTCGTCTTTCATTGATAAACCTCTATCGTTATGAATAAGATATTTCATTGTTTACGTTACTTTTACCTTGATTATTGTATCCTCAAAAAACACCCCTCTTCTGAGGTAATTGTTGTAACGTCTGTCAAAATCCAGTCAAAAGATATTTGAACATGCATTTGTTGTGTGTTTGATTCCCATACTGACACACTCACCTTAAATACGTACTTATGGAATACAATTACATATATGCAACTAGAAAATAACAACTCAAAATCAATAAACTATCAATAAAGTTTAGATTAGCAATCATGCTTATACTTTACTGAAGAGCGTCTTCTTCTCTCGCTTCCTTTGACCATCTGCGCGTATTTGGCGTTGAAGGTGTTTCAGCGCTGAATTTCAATGTTATCTTCTGGCTCCCATTTTGGCTGTGATCCGATCTGTGGGGATTTCAGGAAAGAAGTTATTGTGGATAGCGAACCCTCTTTATTTGCAAGATGTTAAAATGTAGCACCGAAGGTAGGTAGGAGGAGGAGGGTAAAAGACCTGAATATGGAAAGTATTACATGCCATAGCACTAAGTCATTTAGTCAAGGTATGCCTAAAGGTGATATCCAAAGCTGTCACAATGATAACCTAAACAGGACATGCAACTACAAAAGACATTGACAATAGTACGAGAGGCGATCAAAAAGTGTGTAAAAATACCAAGAAAACGATACAAATGCAGTCATTTTTATGTTTTATTTTTCTTCATATTATCTGTCAAGGTCAAGCAATTTGGTTTTGCTATGCTCCAGTCTCACATCCCCATTTTGTTTGACCCTTTAACTTGGTACCCTCCAAAAACGCAAAATCTACAATAAATGCATCACAAACTTCAGGAAACAAAATATGCAAGAAATATTTTGTGTGTTTGAGACTGATAGACGTCCCCTAGAATCACACTTAGATATTAAAGTTCATAAAAAAGCAATTTGAAATTTCAATCGCCTGTTAAAGTGAAACAAACCCCCACCCCCACCCCCACCCCCGCCTCATGTTGCCTAAAAGAGCTTGTTTTGGAGATACTACCCATCCCCTTTCATAACTTATTCATGTTTTGACTTATCCATACATGACTCCAAGGGTTCAAACTAACCACTGAATGGTCACACAAGTGTCAGCTCACAATCTATTGGCAACAGTACCAGATGGAATATCTGGACACAATGTTTTAGGAAGACCGAAATGGGGGTGTCCTTAAAAAACAGCCCTCGACTAAATATAAACTAAGACATCCTAATCTGTGACTGTTGATTATGACGGGAAGTCATCCAATACTATACTGAACATATTTTGTATGATATACTCTGAGGGCATACCATTATCCAAGAGGTACCAAATGATAGATCTTTTTTCATTTTCTGCAGTTTTGTTAGAAATGTTCCACCACAATGTGTTGTGATGACTAATTACTCATTAACCACATTACCCACATATGTGAAATTTTGGATATCACTTTGCCAAAGATTCCTTCAAAATGAAATGGAAGCCTTTCAAACATTGGACATCCAGAATACAGTAAGTCTACGTACTTTTTGATCTACCCTCGTATATGTCCTCAAATATTCCTTAACGTCCACACAATACCTAAACCAAGTGTTTTCCTGAATATTCTGCCACAATCCTAAAGATCAAAACAATGTGAGAAAATTACACAATTTCCCAAATATTGAATAATGAAATACACACTAAAATAGGCTACACAAATTCTATCAAATTCAGATAGATTAACAGTTGAAGGGAAGCAACTCTGTATGGCTTATCCTGCAGGTAAAAACTGTATATTGTATGAGCGCTTTACTTGATTGACTTGAACATGAAAGCTTGGCAAATTTACACCTAAGTGACTTACAACATTTCCTGTACTTGTTTAACACATTCTTGTCTCACCTGTTTATAATGACTGAATTTGTTATATAATATACATGTATATTCTTTATGAATGTAAAATTTGTTCTTGTTATCATATGGCTGAAATATTGCCGATGTGACGATACATTTTAACTCACTTGCTCACTCAATTGTCTTACCTGAACAGACTGTCTGTAGAAAGGCTTCCTGACAGATTAGCACTGCCTGTCTCTGTCTAATGATAATGGAGATTGTCTTACCTTACTCCTGTCGGTCTATGTCAAAAACATCTTTTTGGGTTTGTTAGAACTGATGCAGTTGCAATGTTTCAGTATCAGAAAGGTTAGAATCACTGAGATTCTTTAGCACCTCTCTCCATGATAATAGTATAGATTGATGGGATGTCAACTGGATGCTTGGAACCAGTCAATGTGTGAGGGGATTCTTCCTGAATATGGGAGACTTCCTCTGCTGTTGATTTATAGATGTGCTTTATGCTATGAAGGAAAAGTTCCAGAAATTGTTTGTTTGTTGTTTAATGCCACACTCCAATATTCCAGCTATATGACAGCAGTCTGTAAATAATCGAGTCTGGACCAGACAATCCAGTGATCAACATCATGAGCATTGATCTATGCATTTGGGATATGATGACATGTGTCAACCAACTCATTGAGCGTGACCACTCGATCCCATTTTTCATCTTTTACAGAAAGCATAGGTTCTAACGGGTCAACTCCAAGGTCTTGGGATGAGCATTTCACAACTTCTTTAAGTGAAAAGATACTTGTAGAAGGAGTACAAGAATAGACAACAGGGATATCATGTTCATGTCACAGTCGTTAATGTACTCAAAGGGAAAAGTGTGGTTGACTTGAAGTTATATATGTTAGGTATGTGAATTAACAACTGATTTTTTTATGATGAAACCTTTTTAATATTGCAAGAAAATCATTCCACAATAGGATTGCAAATGACACATTTTAAACTTTTATTCATTCAAATGAGCTCACAGTGAGAGAACGGTCAAAATTAAAACCACACAGTCAATAATGTGTCTGTGCACCATGAGCATTGATGCTTGCTTGACACCTGCGCCTTATAGAGACATTGAAACATCACAAGAAGTCTTGTGGAATGACATTTCATATCTGTGGAAGCACTTGGCAGAGCTCCTGAAACTTGACTGGGGGATTTGGACAACGTCTCAATCTCCTCTTCATTTCGGTCCAGACGTGTTCGAAAGGGGACAGATTTGGGGATTTTGCCGATAAACTCGCTTTTGGTCATCAGTCCGGTGCAAAAGTAATTTTGCCACCACAGACGTTGTCTGCACCACTGCAGTCGTAGACGTTGGTGTCGTCTGGCAGGACGTCAACCACGTATCCCGTGTGCAGCGAGATGCTGGCAATTGGTCTTTGACGATATCCTGTTGACACCAGGAATGTCAGTGTGGCTGATTGGAATCTTTGGCGCAGATGTGGGCTTCGAACATTACGATTGTTGCTTGGCCTGGTTACAGAAGGACGGCCGCTTCGGGGACAGTCTGCAACGACGGCATTTTGTTGATAACGTCTCCACAAGTGGCATATGTTCCTGTGCACATTAAATGGTTGTGCAACGTTGCGCTGGGGTGTTCCAGTTTCCAGCTTTCCAGTGGCTTGTCATCTTTCAATTTCAGTTAGCCATGGCATAGAGAAATGCAAGCTGCTTCTTCCAAATTTGTTTTTTTCGGACCCGTCGACGTCTTAACAATGATTTGGGTGAAAATGATTTGAGGTTTGGAGCCGCACTTATTAAAGGGGACGTTTTATGCCTTTTTTGCACTGGCTTCTTGTAAGCACGAAACATGCATGCAGAACAAAAACTACCGACAGGGCCCTGTTTATAAGCATTAAGTGCATTATAAAGAATATTAAAATGCGTTATAAACATTTTGTCATTTATATAAACAAATGTGTTACACATACATTTGCCTTTGAGTATACATTGTGATGCTTACTTCAATTATTTTAACTGAAACCAAACACACTCACTCACTCATTTTAACATGTGTCATTTGTTTGCAATAAACCATTACATTCTTTATATTTCAGTTGCAACAGAAGAAACTACTCATGAACGAAAGCTGAAATCTGCGAATGACAATATGGACGTGATGACACCAGAAAACCAAACTTTGACAGACTGGAAGCCACTTGAACACAGACCGAATTCGCCTATGTCGAGCTTGACTAAACTAGACACAGGTTTAACACTAATCAGTAAGTATATATGAACGCAGTGCATTCGAGAAGTACAATAACTAATTCGTAACTATGAAATTATTGAAATTGCCAAACATCATTTTGCCATTCAATGAGAAGTAATGAATCCCAGTGACCATGTGAAAGGTATATATTATGTTTGTCTAACATCTGTCATAAGCATGGGGCTGAGTAAACATATTGTTGGGGCTCAAATTTGAGCACAAGTATTACAGGAATTTGTTAATTGATGTGGAAGCTAGAATTTGTTCTCTGCTATAGAATATATCAATCCTCATCAAACAAAGGATTATCAACATTATCAACATCTTGAAATCAAAGAAGGCAATTGTTGCAACTAATATTGTCTTCTTCCCCAGAAAACATTTCTTTTATGGCAATTGGAGATAACACCATCAATTCTGACCAACCAGAGCCTGAGCAGTTCTTGAAACCTGTCAGGAGTGCCATGGGTAAGTAAATGAGCAATCAGTGTTGAAGTGTAATAGCTTTAGTTACCAACATGAATGAATGAATGAATGGATGGATGGATGGATGGATGGATGGATGGATGGATGGATGGATGGATGGATGGATGGATGGATGGGATGGGATGTTAAATCTCAACGTGATGCTATGCACTAGGTACAGTGACAGACTATGTAAACAACGACTGTCGCAAAATAGAAGCTTCCTACAGTAGGGGTGACAGGTTATCGAGAATATAACTTTCCCGAAAATTGCTACATCTTGCATTAATCGGACAAAACATGTTTTTATAAAAAAGTAATGTTAAGATGATAATCCCAGACAAGAACGTAAGTAAAATGCACATATAAAACTGCAAATATCACTCAAATACACAACACCCCTACGTGAAAAATAGCCTCGTTTAAGAAAACTGACCTCATGGCATTTCCATCAAATTTTGAGTATTTTAAAACACTTGCGATATAAAACACATATATCATCAAACCTGCACATAAAAAAAATAGTATTCGCCTGAAGAGTGGATCTCTCCGAGCTGAATATTAAGTAATAGCAACGAAAACATCTCTGCGTCATGTTGCGCCATGTTGCGCCATCATCATCACCGGAAGCAAGTACCCGGGACCCTTCACTAATTTCAAACGAAAGGGAGTAATCATTAAAATTTCAAAATATACAAATGACGTTGAATCTATTCAAAACACATTGCAAAAAAAAAAAAAGAAGTATTGTGGAATGGCATCTCTTATCTGTGGAAGCACTTGGCGGGGTTCCTGAAGCATGTCTGGGGGATTTGGCCAACGTCTTAATCTCCTCTTCATTTTGACCAAGACGTGTTCGACAGGGGACAGATCTTGGGATTTAGCTGGTAAACTCTGTTTCGGTCATCAGTCCGGTGCAAGAGGAATCTGGGCTCATCAGTGAAGAGAAAACACCTCCACTCACGTGCTCTCCACCGCAGATGTTGTCTGCACTACTTGCAGTCGTAGACGTTGGTGATATAATGTCAAAATTTTTCGTCTGTCAGGACGTCAATACATTGACTTGGGTGACAATGATTCGAGGTTTAGAGCCACACTTTTTTAAAGGGACGTTTTATGCCTTTTTTTCCACTGACTTCTTGAAAGCACGGAAAATGCATGTAAAACAAAAACAGAGCCCTGTTTAGGTTATGGATTATGTGTAGTATAAAGAATATTTAAATGCGTCATAAAACATTTTGTCATTTATATAAACAAATGTGTCGATCACATCTACTTTTGCCTTTGAGTATACATTGTGATGCTTGTAATTCAATCATTTTAACTGAAACCAAACTCACTCACCTCCTAACATATGTCATTTGTTTGCAATAAACCATTTCATTTTTTTATATTTCAGTTGCAACAGAAGAAACTGATCATGAACGAAAGCTGAAATCTGCGAATGACAATATGGACGTGATGACACCAGAAAACCAAACTTTGACAGACTGGAAGCCACTTGAACACAGACCGAATTCGCCTATGTCGAGCTTGACTAAACTAGACACAGGTTTAACACTAATCAGTAAGTATATATGAACGCAGTGCATTCGAGAAGTACAATAACTAATTCGTAACTATGAAATTATTGAGATTGCCCAACATCATTTTGCCATTCAATGAGATGTAATGAATCCCAGTGACCATGTGAAAGGTATATATTATGTTTGTCTAACATCTATCATAAGCATGGGGCTGAGTAAACATATTGTTGGGGCTCAAATTTGAGCACAAGTATTACAGGAATTTGTTAATTGATGTGGAAGCTAAAATTTGTGTCTGTACTATAGAATACATCAATCCTCATCAAACAAAGGATTATCAACATTATCAACATCTTTAAATCAAAGAAGGTAATTGTTGCAGCTGATATTGTCTTCATCCCCAGAAATAATTTCTCATATCGTTATTGGATATAACACCATCAATTCTGACCAACCAGAGCCTGAGCAATTCTTGAGACCTGTCATGGGTAAGTAAATTTTGCAAACATTGTTGACGTATAGAAGCTTTAGTTAACAACGTGGATCTATATCAACCAAAACTGTTATTTTATTATTATTGATTCTTTAGTATTAAAAACCCACTTCATGTTATTTTCACTGAAATAAACAGAATAATCCAAAATAAATTCTTTTGACTCTGCAGCCCGCAACATATGTGTACTTCAAGCAGTCAAGCCGCATCTTCCGACCCAGTATGGTGCTCGTCATTTGCAAGGTTGGTGCAATACAGCATTTAAACCGCAATCAAGCATTGACTTACAATTCCTACAAAAATGCCATGTGCAGTCACAACTTGAAATCAATCATTCCTTTGTATTCTAGTTGTGGCAGCTCATTTATCTATGATCACGTGAGACACTGACACTGGAAATGGACACTGATCCTGTGAAAAACGATTTCCTGTCCTGCAGAGACCATTACAATATCCTGCATGTTCTGCTTGTTCCCGAATCCTACACCACGGTACCAAAATACCCCACTGGCAGTCACCACCTCACCTTTGCTTTCTTGCCTTTCCAATAATTTTGCCAGTTCTTTATAAAGATGGTCCTGGGGGCTGTTGCTTAAGTTTTTTACGCAGCGTTCACACGTACAGGCCTTGACACAATGCCTAATAAGATGTCATCATCTGGTAATCGCTGGCTACTTTGCTGAGGAGTTGCATACAGAATGCCTTCTTCGTTTGGAAGAGTTTGGAATGCCTTCTTCGTTTTGATTTTGAAGTTTTATCAATTTCGTGACATGAAAACCACATCTACTTCGTCAGCATCATGGCGACTGCCGTGCTGATTTTAGTCCATTGTAGGACGTGTAACTTCAGTTGTGTATCGAAAGATATCTTCTTGATGTTTTCAGGTTTTAGTCAGTATTTTCAAGTGTTTTGCACCAACTTGCACTGGATGGGTTTTATGTGACTTATAGTAGGGGGGATATACATGCTATACAGCATGTGACATGACATTGAACTTGATTGAAGTTTGATGTGTGTGCCCATTGTCCATTTTGTTGAAAGCTTCTTTTTTCCACCTCGAGTCAGGCAACTGTCATGATTTCTATATTTTCAAATCACTTTACTGCATGCGTCTATCTTTTCATTTATCTAGCACATTCATTAAAAGGTGAAGTTTCTATTGGCCGTCAGTTTATTATTGGAGAAAGTATTGACTCAGAAAACTGATCATCAATGCTTTTCAGTGGTTGTATTCTACCCTTCTGGAGTGCCAATGATGACAGGTTCACAAGCAGTCCAAAGGGTACATCTCATCTTTCATTCCTAAGAATAGACCTGGTTTTGAGAAATAAGTCTGGCGCATGAAAATTCCTTAAAGTCTACGATTTAGACGGGGGATTCCAACACCAAAGTAAGACCAGAAAAGAACTATTCAAATAATTGGCAGTTGGTCGATACCCTATGATACTGGTTAAGACTTGAACTGGTTGCACCTCATCCTCGTTGGATGGAGGAAGGTACATTGGTCGGATGAGAGTGACTTTGTATTTCACGTCACAGACGGGCCAAGGACAGTTCCTATAAGCCTAAGAACATCAGAGTATTGGTGGATCTGTCATGGTCTATGGTTGTTTCTCCCATGATTGTAAACTGGACTTGGTAACTGTTCGTGGAAATGTCAGTAGCGACTACAAAATTGGGACATTCTGGATTCTATTCTTGTGCCACGTTTTGATAACCACCCATTAGCCACTTGCCCTGTATCTATGGATGACAACGCCCGACCATATCGTTCTCAACTTATGACAGTTTTTCTCCAACAATGCTGTAACCAAACTTCCATGGTCTGCTACGAGCCCGGATCTGAACCAATTGGAGCCTGTCTTGGGCATTCTTGGACACCAAGTGCAAGCACTGGATCCGCCTGTACCAGATCTGGCATGTTTGGAAGCAGCTTTGAGGCGGGAATGGTAGCAGCTGCCTCTGGAGCGAATCCAGAGACTCACAACAAGCATAAGGAGGGTCAAAGCAGTCATCCATGCACAAGGTGGATATGCACGCTATTAATATTTTTCATGTGATCTGTTGTCTGAAGATGACAGAGAACATTTTCAGACTGAGAGACACTCAGCTCTCCCATTTTGGAAGTGTGCGGAGCCATAGTTATACAGGGATACATTTTGTTGACAAAACATCCCTGACGTTTTCATGTTATTTTGTAAATCAAAATATTGCAAATTTTCATGATTTTGATGTTATTCTTTAGTCCAAATGTCAACTTTCAGGAAATCATGGCGTTTAAACTTTCGAGTATACATACTAATGGCAATATGAAAAAATCGGGGGGGTGTTTAATAAGTTCCATGTGTATAGTAGTATAGGTAATGGTGATTCTGGCTCATTTTGTACCTGGCCTCAGAGGGTTATTTGTGGCCAAAAGAGCTTCCACAATTGTTTAAAAAATGTCGTCTTTCACTGTGGATGTCCCCTACATTTTTTTTTCTCCCCCCCAAAATTATATATTTTTTATGTATATTTTCTTAATAGTAGCCATATTGTTTAGCGATTATGTTATGGATCTAAGTAAGCTTAGGAGTAGGTTGAGTATGGGTCAGTGCATTCGCTATAATCGACTAAAGTATCCATGAGAAGTTGTGACTGTTTGGTGCCCACCATACCTAAACTGTGTCATACAGGGTCGTGAATTAACCTTGATTAATCACTCGGTGTAGGGCTGAATAAATATCAAGCCCTTCGATGTCCACTGCGATGTGGTTGAACAATTGTTTCTCGATCAATTTCCACGTGATAATATACCTACGTGTCATCGTATCCCAATTGTGTAGATCGATGCTCATGATGTTGATCACTGGATTGTCTGGTCCAGGCTCGATTATTTACAGACCGCCGCCATATAGCTGTAATATTACTGAGTGCGGCATAAAACTAAACAAACTCACTCACCTTTCTGATAGACATCATGTGTATTCCGCAATTTTCGGTCAAGCCACAAGTCTAGCTGCAAGTCTTGGCTTTTCCCAGAAGTACGTATTTGCAATGATATGGAGCGTGTCTAATCTTTGCTGCTATATGTACATTGATGAATATTAGTCTCATTGATTTTGCAAGTAGTGTGACTAAACACATAGATGAACATTTGATTAGCGATTAGCGCCGTCGCGGCTAGGCCTAACACAATTAAGGTCAACTCGCTGTCTCTCTGAAACTGGGAAGGTGTGTAATATATTGTAATATTTGCATTCGTTTTTTCGATTACTTGGCCCAGCAACCTGTAATTTCTCAATGTCTAAATCATGATGCTTCTGTTCTTTTTTTCTATTTCAGCTGCATTGGATGTTCGTAATGCAGGCACGGTGACTATAACCCCACCGACCATCAAGGCAATCATGGCCATTTTATGTATAAAATAACAATATTACTTTAATATGCTTTCCGGAATGCGCCTTGCTTGATGAGCATATCTTTGGTATCCTTCGCCAGTCCCAAATCTAGGACGAGCATGCCCATGTCGTATGCATTGAAATGGAGTTTTGGAGTTGCCTGTTTGGTGATCATTTTACTTAAACACGCGTAGCCAATGGCTAGAGCTGACCACTGTGGAGCGCTACGTGTCGTTGACAAACGTTTCTCCATCGTTGGTAGACATGATTTATTATAACATAATATGCTGCAATTGTCTAGGATAAACAGTATCAATTCTCCTTTGAACCTGTCGTGAAAAGATTCGCAATCACACCTGTAAACATTCTCCTGGATCGATTTTACGCATCTCCGTGTGCAAAATCGGTTACCGAATGCATTGGCTATAGCCTTATGTTCCCTCAGCAAATGCCTCGACAATCACTTGACCCAGTTCACGTTTATCATCCATGGAATCCAAACTGATCTGAAAAGCCAGGCGAGCCGTCCGGGGACGATGACGTCATTCACGCCCAGATTAGGAAATCAAACCAACAGGATTTGGTTTTGATCAATCGTACTCGGATCATTCATGATCGTCATGAATAAAACATGGCTGATGAATTTCTGGGTGAAGATATGGAGATGAATGATTTGGGTTATAGAACCCAATTGCTCAATTATGATCATTCATGGCTGAAAGCATTGGCGAAACCCTGTTAAAGACTACCGTGAATGATTTTTACGATACCACAGAGCAAAATGAAAATCCCGCATCTCTTTATCGTGACTATTCTATTCCATATTGATGAATGATTCTTTCTAAAGAGAACAACCTCAAACTGGACGCACTTGATGACCATATCGCTCTTGAGAAAAGAAAACTTGACAAAACGGATAACGAGATCAGCCAACGTCGGATTGTGACTTTGAAGACGAAAGATCATCCTAATTAGAAGTGGCTTCCACCAACCAAGAAGCGCTGTGATCCCAAATCAATCACATTCATGAGTCCTGAACGAAGGCAAGAAGTCACCATTGCCAGTATTCTAACCGCACCATATTGACTTAAATTGTCTCTCTCACTGGTGGTGGTTGTACCACTCCAAGCCCAACACCACCAAACAAGGCACAATCCGACCACAATCC